AACCCTAAACCCTCGTAAACCCTAAACCCTCGTAAACCCTAAACCCTCGTAAACCCTCATAAACCCTCATTTAATATAAATATATTATATAATAGTTATAACAAACCACAATAAATTGTTTCTCCCTTTGTTGGTGGTTTGTGAAGCTTTTTCTATGATGGAAGGTATAAACCCTCGTAAACCCTAAACCCTCGTAAACCCTAAACCCTCGTAAACCCTCGTAAACCCTAATAAACCCTAATATCATATAATAATAATAATAAATCATAATAAATTGTTTCTGCCGTTGTTGGTGGTTTGTGAAGCTTTTTCTATGATGGAAGGTATAAACCCTCGTAAACCCTCGTAAACCCTAAACCCTCGTAAACCCTCGTAAACCCTAATAAACCCTAATTTAATATAGATATATTGTATAATAATAATAACAAATCACAATAAATTGTTTCTTCCTTCGTTTGTGGTTTGTGAAGCTTTTTCTATGATGGAAGGTATAAACCCTAAACCCTCGTAAACCCTAAACCCTCGTAAACCTTCATAAACCCTCATAAACCCTCATAAACCCTAATAAACCCTAATAAACCCTAATAAACCCTAATAAAGCATACTAAACAGGAATAAACGACAATAAACAACAAGAGGGTTAGATGCGTTAGTATTTTTAGGGTTTAGGGTTTAGGGTTTAGGGTTTAGGGTTTGTGGTTTAGGGTTATTGTTTCGTGTTGTAAGAGGCGGAGGGTTTGCATACGGCTGTGATTTATCTTATAACGCCGACGCGGGTTTATTAACCCTCAGATTGTCTCCTTCTACAGACCCTGTTGGAGTGAGAGTTTAGGGTTTAGGGTTTAGGGTTTAGGGTTTGTCAGGGTTTAGGGGTTGTCAGGGTTTAGGGTTTGTCAGGGTTTGGGATTCGTGAGGGTTTAGGGTGTTTCAGGGTTTAGGGTTTGTGAGGGTTTAGGGTTTGTGAGGGTTTAGGGTTTGTGAGGGTTTAGGGTGTAGGATTTGGGGTGTAGGGGTTTAGGGTTTGTGAGGGTTTAGGGTTTAGTGTTTGTGAGGGTTTAGGGTTTAGTGTATTTGTGTGTATAATATAGAATAGAAAAAGAGGGTTTCAGAGTTTGGTGTTTCGTGTGCAGAGTATTTTTATTTTTTCTAAACTCCAAGGGTTTAGGGTTTAGGGTTTTCGAGGGTTTAGGGTTTAGGGTTTTCGAGGGTTTAGGGTTTGTATGTAGGGTTTAGAAGCTTCATTCAAAGCTTTTCGTCCGTATGCGACGGGAGAAACAAAACTAACAACAGAAGAAATCAAAGCCGCTAAATCTTCTCTCATTTGCTCTATTGTTGGGTGAGGGTTTAGGGTTTAGGGTTTAGGGTTTTCGAGGGTTTAGGGTTTGGGAGGGTTTAGGAGGGTTTGGGAGGGTTTAGGGTTTGGGAGGGTTTGGGAGGGTTCAGGGGTTAGGGTTTAGGGTTTGCGAGGGTTTAGGGTTTAGGGTTTGTGAAGGTTTAGGGTTTAGGGTTTCTTTGGAGTTGGTGTTTGTTTATATTTTAGGGTTTAGGGTTTAGGGTTTATGTGTAATATGCGAGGGTTTGCGATCCCCCCTTTCACGACCTTAAACCCTAAACCCTAAACCCTAAACCCTAAACCCTTTTTTTTGTGTGTAGGAGAGAACAAACCGCCGCAGATGCAGCAAGCCAAACCCTTTTAAATATATTGAGGGGTTTACCCCCGAGAGAGAATGAGGGTTTACTGCGAGAGATAGAAACCCTAAACCCTAATTTTATTAATTTTGTTTGTCAGCTGTATATACACCGCATGCTGCAAGCTTTTATAGGGCCTATACAAACCCTAAACCCTCAAACCCTAAACCCTCAAACCCTAAACCCTCAAACCCTAAACCCTAATAAACACATTCGCAGCACCCTCTGTGTTCTCACCAACAAAAGCAAGGTACGCTAAAAACCCTAAACCCTAAACCCTCATAAGCCCTAAACCCTAAACCCTTCATAAACCCTAAACCCTAATCATACAAAAACCCTTCCAAACCCTAAACCCTAACAGTATATATTATAAACCCTCTTAAACCCTAAACCCTAACGCTAGATTCTAAACCACGCTAAACCCTTAAAACGCCCCTAAACCCTAAACCCTCATAAACCCTAAACCCTCTAAACCTCAGAGGGTTTAGGGTTTAGGGTGAAACCCTAATTCGATATATCCGTCAACCCTAAACCCTAATAAACCCTAACCCCTACACCCTATCTAAACCCTAAACCCTCGTAAACCCTAGACCCTCGTAAACCCTAAGCCCTCGTAAACCCTAGACCCTCGTAAACCCTAAACCCTCGTAAACCCTAAACCCTCATAAACCCTAAACCCTAAACCCTTTTTTTTTGCAGGTTGCAGCGTTGAAGAAGGGTTTTGAGGGTTTAGGGATTAGCTGCAGTTTGCTGGACGCGCGGGGTTTGTTTGAGTTTCTGAAGGCTGAGGGTAACGTGCCGCTGCCAGCTAGCCAGCTAGCTAGCCAGCTAGCTAGCCAGCCAGCTAGCCAGCTAGCTAGCCAGCTAGCTAGCCAATCAGAAAGCCAAGAAGATAGCGACAGCGAAGAAGAGGATGATGATACTGATGAGGAGACAGACACTGAAGACGAAGACAGCCCCATGGAAAAAGATTAAACTCATACACAGCTAGCTAGCTAGCTAGCTAGCTAGCTAGCT